GAAAATTTATGTTGACAACGTGCTGGGCCACCACGTCACCGCTGCTCCACCCAACCACCCCACCCTGCATCCGAAAACCATCCAAGCACCGCCCCAATTTCCCCTTTCTTTTCCACGGCGCCCAGCTGTGAGAGTCGAATGAAATGACCAAACCAAACGGGAAAGTACCGGGCGCTTATTAATGGGTCATGTGTGCATGGCTAGAGACTTTTTTAGCCCCCATCGACACTCAAAAAAAAATCACAAAATCACAATTCATAAATATTTTGTGGAGTTGACATTTTTTAAATATTCTTCTTTAACACAATTATTTAGAGGTATGCCACTTTGAAATCGGATTTCTGTAAGAAAAGTTATGGGATTAGAAGTGCAGGTTATTGATAACTTTTCTGCAAAGTCATTTTTTGAAAATTTGGAAAGGGGTAACACTGTAAAAATGATGAAAAATCGACCCGAAAATACAAATCAAGTTGAAAACAGAGATTTTTAGACGATTAAACCACAATCATTTAGAGGTATGCCACTTGGAAATCTGATGTCTGTACGAAAAGTTATGAGCTTGGAAGTGCAGTTTTAGGCCACTTTTCTGAAAATTTGAAAGGGGTAACACCATTAAAATGACGAAAAATCGACCCCAAAGTACAAATCAAGTTGGGAACACAGATTTTTAGAGGATTAAACCACAATCATTTAGAGGTATGCCACTTTAAAACCGGATGCCTGTAAGAAAAGTTATGGGCTCAGAAGTGCAGGTTATTGGTTCCTTTTCTGTTAAGCCATTTTTCGAAAATTTGGAAAGGGGTAACATTATTTAAATAACAAAAAACCGACCCAAAAAAACAAATCAAGTTGAGAACACAGATTTTTAGAGGATTACACCACAATCATTTAGAGGTATGCCACTTTGAAATCGGATGTCTGTAAGAAAAGTTAAAGGCTTGGAAGTGCAGTTTTTAGGCCACTTTTCTGACTTTGGAATGTACATTTTTAATTATGTTAACTTATTTTTTATTCTCTAATTAAAAATCACAAGTTTTGTTTCTATTTTTTGTTGTTAACATTTTGTTTTATAAAATATAATTTTTAAGAGTTTTAAATATAAAAAAATTTGTTTGAGTGTTTTAAGAGCCGCAGGAGAAAGCGTGATGTGGAGAAGGAGGTGCATCCTATCTTTTGGTACTTGGTCCGTGGGCTGAAGAGTTTGCACGGAAAGTTTCACTGCCCTGTGGTGAAAAGTTTTTTGGACCGATCCCCTGAAAACCCTAGCCTCCACCAAATTCGGCCGCTTTTCATTCTTCTCGTCGTAGTTCATTTTTGGTAATTTCCCGCCTTTGGCTAAAGCAAATTATGAGCTTCATTTGCATATTCGCATTTCCAACGGTGAGTAGCAACAAAGGGCTGAAATTGAAAACGCGATTTGCTCGAATTTACAATCACAATTTACATAAGCCCTTCCCCTCCCCATTTCAAAAGGTGTTGCCGAATGTATAAATCATCAGACAATATACACATACACACGCATCAAGGACATTTGTACAACAGGGCGTATTGTTGATTTGAATTTGGAATTCCATCGGCGAGTGGATCAAAAATGGAAAATGCCAATGTAAGTCTAACAAAGACAGCTGTTGATGCTGCCGTCGATCCACTGCGAGCAATAAATTAACTTTACCATCGAAGGAAATGAAACCAATATTGCGTATACGCAGGGTAGGAAATTAAGTGGTTTGAGTGGACGGAAAGGCAATAAGGAGTGGGTAATAAACACGGACCAATCTCAGGTTTACATTCTATTAATGTTTAGCAAGAGCAGTTCTTCTTTCAAAGTTCTATTCATGGAATTTTCCGATATTGCGTATACGCAGAGTAGGAAATTAAGTGGTTTGACTCGACGGAAAGTCAATAAGGTACGGTTAATAGACATGGACCAATCTAAGGTTTACATTCCATTACTGTTGAGCAAGAAGAGTTCTTCTTTCAAGTAATATTCAGGCAATTTTCCGATAATGCGTATACGCAGAGTAGGAAATTAAGTGGTTTAATAAACACGGACCAATCCCAGGCTTGCATTTTAATAATGTTTAGCAAGAACAGTTCTTCTTTTAAAGTTCTATTCATGGAATTTTCCGCGTAGCTGATAAAGTCAACAGAGTGTTAAATTCAGCTTCTGTCATTGTAATTGTCAATTCAACGATTGGCCCAACAAACCAACGCAACTTGACCCAAAACGTAGTCGAGTGCAAACGGAAAACGCAATAGGAGGAGATTTTTCTGAAAAAAACGAAGAAAAAACCGCTTGGCCCTGACGTAATTAAAGCGTCGGAACAGGCGGATGTTGCTAAACAAAAAAAAAAGGAGAGTCTGAAAAAATTTTAGAATGCGTCGCTCTACCGTAACAATACGCTTCCTGTTGCAGGATGGAGAAAAAGGAGCAGCTTGTTCGACTGGGAAATTAAAAGTACCAGAAAAACACAGAGAGAGAGCCCCAAAAACAAGACGAATAAGCGAATCAGGTGAAAGGGCGACAATAATTGAAACAGTAGAACGAATCCCGTCGAATGTTGTTGCCCCAGTGCAATATCGCGGCAATGTGTGTTGCGACACGGCAGCAGCATTGCAGCTGCTGTTGTGCCACAATAACCGACTAGCGATGGCGACAGCCGCAGAGCAATTTTAATTGATTGTGGCTTGGTTGGCGAAAGTGTGTTCCCATTTGAAAGGCAGCATTAAACGGCGAAATTGTTCTGTAAATACAAATAATTTGACCAACATTGAGAAGGAGATGTGCCATTTTCGGAAAAAAATATGACGGCATAACCTGAAATTGGGCTACTATAAAACTAAACAAATTTAAGAACTGACAAGATGTAGATTTATTTATTATTTTATCAAGACAGAGTGTTGTGAAAATAATTCAATAATTTATCGATTTATATTGAATGCCATTTGAGTAAGAGAGAACAATTAATTGATAGCCTTCTATTTGCATGTTTGAGCACATGAGTCTGTTTAAAGACCGTGTTAAATTTCCATTTAATTAAACCCCTTGTTTATGTAGTATACTTATCCGCGCAGCAGTTGCATTTGCAGCCACAAAAAAACACGAATGCCCAGTGCCAGTTTAAATTTCTAAACATAAATTTCAGTGCAATTAATTTTCCGCAGTTCTCGTTGTTGTTGCGTGTTTCACGCCATTATATTTTGAGTTTTTTGTTTGTACTGAACAACTTTTTTATGCAATGAAATTTTTAGCACCTTTCTCCACGATTTGCTGGCTTGTCTCGCGTATCGCGTATCGTTTGTCAGTTTTAGAATGTGGCAAATGTTCTGGACTCACGCATTCCACTAACATTTTTGAAAATCCTTCTGCCACGCCCCCTGTCAGCCCCTTTCACTTGGGACAATTTTCCGGCGATTGTTATCGCCAGTCGTTTGTTAAAATTGCACCCGCACAGCGGCAAACACAATGGGTAAAATCATGCTTGCACAATTACACCAACAGACACGGCTTAGTTTTCCCGGCTGCCATTTTTCCATTTTCCCCGCTGCGCTATTATAAATAACAAACAAGAAAATTGTTTATAATTACACATTAGCAGATAAAATATTGCATGTTGCCGATGTTGGCAGCCATTTGGCGCAGCCATGTGTGTGTGACCAATTTGTTGGCCCGACTTTCGAAACATGGCGTTTTTTTCTGGTCGTGGTAATTGTTGCAGTTCCAAGTCCACTCTATTTTTTTTATAATGTGTTACATGGCGCTAAAGTGTTGTCATTATCGTCGATTACGAATGCGATTATATAATAATCGCTTTGAGTTGAGCCCAGTTGGCGAAAACAATTACGATAATTTTCCGCTCCAAGGAGTCTATCCTTCAATTGAATTGTTTATTTTTATTTGAGACATATTTGCAGGAGCATCTCTTAGGTTTTTAAAAATAACAAATATTTCACAAATGGCTTATCATACATAACTAACCAATTTTATAAACTAAAATACATTCAGTAAAATCATCATCATTAAAGATGTTTCTTTATTACAAAACTGCAGCTTAATTTTGCTTTAATGTAAATCATAGAATAATATTCAATTTAATTTTCTCCGTGTGGGAATACATACAGAAAGACAGACTATAAACACGTACGCTCAATTGCCGGCACATTAGAGACATTAAAGGTTCCGCTTCTCCCCAGTTAATGTTCAGCAAATTGAGGAGCAAATCTATCGAAATACATATGTATATGTGAGCAATAAAATATAACATGAGCAAGAAAACAATATAATTGCAGCCCAGAGCACAGCAGGCCCATTCAAGGACTCCCGAATGGCGAAGGCTGCCAAATGCAACAGGATTATCCTTCCCTTCCAACTCTCCATCCCCCAAAAATACCACAGGCCATTGTTTTGCCCATAAATGTGTTTCCATAATATGTTTCTAATTGTTTCAACACGAGGTAGGAGGAAAATGGGTTGGCATAAAGTCATGGCTTAAGTCCTAAATATTGCAGAAGTGAAACTTTTCTTATTTCAATTTTCTAAATTAAATTTAAAAACTGTTTCAAGTGTTTCTACAAAATTATTAAAAATTACAAAACCATAAATACACTTTTCTAGGCACGCCGAAAGAAAAAAGTATACAATACATTATATTGCACAAATACTTTTACTGAATATCAACACTAAATACGTATTTAAATTCAATAAAAAGACAAATAATTTAGTTAAGCCTCAACAATATGCACTTATATTTATATAAGCCAATTTCAAAAATAATCAGTTGAAATACCAACTATAACATTGCTAATTCTAATGTCTACAGTTTATTTTTAGTTTTAGCCAATTAAACAGTTAAGGTTTTTTGGTTTTTTGCTTGGTAGAAAGAGCACACACACAACAGCAAACACAATTTAATTAAGATTTGGGGGTATATTTGGATTGTCGTTATTATATTGGTTTTAGGCTGAGTTATGGATAGGATTGATCAGCTATTAGAGCTTACCTTGTGGCTGCTGTCAGGCAGGCAAACGCTTTAATGGGTGTCTGAAACCTGCAATGTAAAAGAAAACCGGAAAAGAAAAGAAGAAAAATTCGCCACTGGTAAAACAATTTTTAAAATCGATCTCGCTTAAACTGCTCTCACATTATTTTGTATTTTTTGCCTTGTTTGGTTATTGAGTAAACACTGGTTATGGTTTTAGGGTTTGTTTGCTTTTCTGTTACTACAAATGGTTGCATCAAAACTAGGTATGTATATAGGGATATAAACGAGTTGACAACTGTATTTTTATTTGCTTTTTGATGGCCGACCACGTGTCAATTAAAATGCATGGATCGTTATTTGGTGGTTTACTCAATAGGGATGTGGATCTGGTGTTTGTAAAATATTTTAATTGCCAGTCACAAGCACGCAAAAAACTATTTACATGGGTTTTCAAAACTACTTCTTTGGTCTGTCAAGTGGAGCATCATGAATTTGAGTTGTTAAAGACTTTACTTTTTGCTGATTTGTGCTTTCAAGTCCACTGTAACAGATTAAGCAAAAAAAAATGAATGCAACCTCAAAAATGTTTTCATCTACATCTCCAACAACAACTACAGGTTAATCTATGGGTATTTTACCAATATGTATGATGTTCAATGCTAGTTTATTTCACTTTATGCGGCTAGAAAACATGTTTTACGCTTATATTACACATACCAAAACCATTTAATCAAGAAAGTTATTTACACAACAACTGAGGACCATGTTAAAATGCATACAAATAATTACATATATTTATATGCCAATGAAATTAATAAACCAAAGTAAGCCACACTAACAACAACAGCAACAACAAGGACAACAGGATTGAGGGGGATGGAGAGGTTACAAATATTCCAATGATGCCTACCAACTCCGATTTTTGTAAAATTTCCAACTTTATTCATATTATTTTTAATTATTAATGGTCTGTTTCAGTTATTTATTTACGCTGTGACAGGGAAAACTATGTATAAAATATACAAGTATTTTGCTGGGCACACGGCATAAATTACACAGCACTACGACATGCCGGAAGACAAACAATAAAATACAAAAACAAAAATTTATGTGTAAACATGTGAATTGTTTATTTTGGACGTGTGTATGTGTGCGAAGAGTTTTTAAGTTCCAATTTAATTGGCACAAATATTGAACAGTTTGGGAGCCACGGGCGTTTACATAGTTTTTAAACTAATGGAATTAAAAAATTAAAAAGGAAAAACTCATGAAAAACTAAAATTGTAGATTAGGAAAATTTATTATTCATTTAACGTCTGAAATTATTTAAGACACGTTTATTTTGAAAAATATATTTTTAATCGTAATCGATTGTGAAGTCCGTATTTTTATTCATATAAGAAAGGCTCAAGAATATTTTGATTTAATTCCTAATCTTCTCAGCAAAAATGTGATTTTTATATTAATGATTCTAATACCCATTCCCTATATATAAAGTCTAATGGAAGAAAGGATAAAAATATGAAATTTTTCACAAGAAAAAAATGGTTTATCACCTATTAAATTGAAACAAAGTATCCCCTAGCGTTCTAATATATCCAACACCCCTTTCACTTTTCGCAGGCTTTTCCGCCATCACCCTTTACTTGTGTATGTGATGGTATTTTAGTTTTCCGCCCACGAATCTAGGCCAAAATGCAAGTTTCGCTCCTCTAGATGTGACACCAAAATGTCAACAAGTCGACGAGGCGTGGAGGCTCGACTGAAAAGGCTAATGAGAGAACGCATCAGGCGGAATGGCCCGAGGGACGTACTCATTTGTAATTAAGAGCAGAGGCTTCCCACATATATAATACTTGGAATGGAAAAATATCCAACGTAATAGAGAGAGAAATGCAGATTTCAAACTGCTCCTAATTAAGCGACTTTCTGTGGCCATTCTAATTAAATAAAATTCAGAGGGAAAGTTAAATGAATATTTGATAAGGCGCCAGAAATGAAGATTAGACCGGTGCAAACACTGCCAGCTAAAAGTCTATATCCAGTGTTCTTTTGCCCTTAAATAGGGATATTCAAAAACAGACAGCGACAATCGGGCGGAAAGAATCTTTGGCAAATTGTCAAAACAACATAAGCGACGAGGAAAACATTTTTAATTTCCTGTTATAAATTGTATGCAAATGGAATAGATTTTTCCTTGATAAAAACTTGCAGGCACTAAGTATTGTTTTTCAATTTGAATTTTCTGATATGTTAATTCGATTTTGTTGGTGTGGTTGGAAGGGCTGAGGTTTAAATGGTTGTTAAAAGCTACTAAATACTAACACAAAAATGTGGTGAATCGATTACAAATTCGTAATGTGAAGAGAATGAGGTGTGGGTTAAACTTACACATAGATATGCTAATATATATGGGGAGTACATAAATACGAAATTAGTGGGTCTACATGGGGTTAAGGCTTACACACACACACAGACACTTCAATAGTATCTAAAGCTATCCCTTTGTCACGATGTTTTTCAGTTACTTTATGGAGGTTGCGCTTACCTGAAAGAAAAGAATAAAGAATTTAAGTTAAAATACATAATGGAAATATTTCTTTCTTTTATAATTTAATAACTTCATATTTAAATAAACTTAAATGCTCATTAGTTCTTTTTTAATCTTAAATCTTAGATATGCACTTCCTTTTTTGCATATACCAACACTTCCCCAACATTTGCATATTCTGAAGCGCTGAACTTCCTGATCCCCTTGCATTGGCATTAAAAATGTACACGCAATCCTTTTAATCGATTAAGCCGTAAAATAAGGGCTGGAACGGGTTGCAAACCTGAGGCTCCGAAGGCGCCATGTGCTCTATAAAGCGTTGGCTAAACGTTTTTGTCGGTTTGTGCATCAAATATGCATATGCAAGTAGCTAAACGCTATGTAATGAAGGCGTTTTCCCGAGTTGTCGTGGTTAATTTCCCGGGATTTTAACCTTTTACACGACAGCTGAATTGAGTGCGTTTATGGCCATGATTAAGTAGCCCATTTTGATTTAAATTAAACTTATTCAACTGATGTGGCTTAGGAATGGTTAGATTTTACGGAATATTCTACATTTTAAGGTTTTGGTAAGTTCTTTTAAGTTTCTGCAGTTTCCTGCAATTTCTCGAAACTATTTTAAAACCACATCCTGTTACACATTTTAAAAAATTATAAAATATTAAATTGTGTTCAGCACGAAATATTTCGTTGAACATTTTGTAGAAGACATGCTGCCCAATTAACAATTCCAGTAACCGCAATCTATTTAAGCCCGTTGGCATGCAGATTAAAACGGAAAAGTTATCCATTTTTTTCAACTTTTTTTTATGACACAAATCGGATTCGGTATATTTTTGCCAACCGCACGTATGGGAATCAGCATCTCACTCACTTTCGTTTTAGCCCGCCGCACCATTTGACAACTCTGTCGGGCCAAATAAAAGCCGTTGCAAATGTTGGCCTATTACAATTTTTCGCTTTCAATTTTTGCGGCATGGCCAAAAGAGCTTAACTCATAAATCTGACACTCGGTCGAAGAAAACGCGAGGTATGGGGGAACTTAAACATTCATCGATATGACGAATTGTAACTGGCACGAGTTTTGCCCTTTTTTTTCATACCGCGAACTGCATTTTAATTGCATTTTTTATTCTTCATTTTTCAAGTCCACCTCTCGTTCACCTTGGGGTTAAATTCCACCCGAGCTCAGGTTGGGCTGAAAAAAACCTTTGCATATATAATAATTCGCTGCCATCGGTCATATACAGTATATAAATTATATAGTGTATGATTTTTTTCTCGAAACGGAAACACATTTATAATTGCACATAAAACCAAAGCCGTTTACAGAGCTTTTGGGTGTGGATGGGCGTCCCGATTTCCCGCCTGACTTCAATGTTTTAATGATTCACTCACTGCCGGCGGGCTCTACGCATTGAGCCCCGATATGCATACGTAATTTCCTGCTCGATTTTAACGGGGGCAGAGGGACTGATGCTCGACTGACTGTCCATTTTAATGGTGACATTTAATATGCGTTAATTATGCCATTTATGGCCCGTTTCGTTTGGGTTTCGGGGCATATGCGCTAAATGGTTTGTCGTTAAAAGGTCTCATTTATTTTTTATCACAAAGCTACCCAATGTCACACCCTACTCATCTCAAATTGAGTTCGACAAGAGTTTATTTCTTGGCTATTTAGTTTAATAAACGTGAATAAAATGTTGCCAAAAACAGATAGCGTCAAATAAAAGTTTTAGATTGTTAAGGGATCCCCCTTTTGGCTTATGCAAATTGATAGCGAAACTCTGATGACGTGCGTATTTCTTTGAACTGTGCCGAGAGTAAAAAGACGTAGATCCAAATGTATTATTTTCGTTTTATACCCTTCAGAGGGTTTCTACGTAAACTAAAAAATGTATTGGAAAATCGACATAGTTTCAGAAACAAGTATTAACAAGTTGCTTTCCGATTTAAGCAATTTATATTTGACACCATGAATCTATTCCTGAATTTTTCATTTTGTATTATAGCTTTATACTAACCTTAAACCATGCGAAACAAAACCTTCTATACAAATCTATATTGTATAGGATTTTGATTTCCTTTTGTGAGTAAGGGATTAATTAGTTGTAATCTGCCATTTAACTGTCAAACAAAGTACATTATCGTTAAAAACCTTTGGAAAGGTAAGAGTTCGAACTCTAAATATAGATCTAGTAAGCCCTACCATGTCATACCAATTACAACGACAATAGTGGCAAATAATTGAAGTGGGAAAAAAATAGAACGTATCGGAAACACACATGGATACAAACGAAACCTTTTGCACAAATAAGTGTAGTCTAGTTTTGGGCAAAGCTTTCACGCTGTCGGAGCTCAGCAAATTTTTATCCAATCCTGAGATCTTACAAATACGAAAATAGTTTCATTTTCCCCAAGCGCACACACAAATATTTTTATACATTTTTATACATACATATATGTACAAGGAGGAGAGAACGGGAACTGTGGGTCAAAAACTTGGGCTTAG